TTGGGAGGGGCTAGGCCTTTGGGACATGCCATCTTCTGGAAGCCCTTATCCCTTTCCATCTCTCTTTCTCAGCCTTTTGGGGTTCTCTGCATCTACTGGCTCCCAACAGTCTTCCTGCAAACCAGGCTGTCTGCCTCGGTCCCTTCTCTTCTCCTCAAGCTCTGGCTAGTTCTCATCTCATCCCCAGCAGTCTGCATTAATATTCCAAACTGCTGGTGGACGTGGCCACCTCGATGGCTAACAGGAATCTCAACTTCAAGGTTGGAAGGGCCTTTCAGCATCTTTGAAATTTCTAAGGTAATTTGTTCTCCCTGCATTACCTTACTGAAAGTACCATCATCTCCCCAGCTCCTCTGGCCCCAAACTCCTTCCTCTCCAGACCTCTTCAAAGTGTAAACCACCAAATCCAACCAAGTTAGCCTTCTACAGTTCTCTTAAGTCCATGACGTCATCACTGTCCATTCCTAGCCACTGCTTGAGGACAGACTGCGTGTGGGCAGCTCTGATCGAAGCACCCACAGTCCAATGAGCCATGCCAGCTCCGTGGCAGACCTTTCCTGGAACCAGGCTGGACAGGGTGAGGATTTTTAAGAGAATAAAAATTGTTTTCTCCTTAATTTTCTTTGGTTTAAGCCTTGTTTGAGGATGGGGAATTACTTGTACCTAAAACAATTTGACGATCAGTTTGACATTAAAAAGAAGAAGAAAGAAAAAGAAAAATTGGGCACCACTTTATCTGTTTCTCAAACTAATAAAGACATTCCCTGTTTTTGTCTCTATTTCCTGTTAGGAATACAAAGTTTGGTCTTCACAGCAATGTTTAACTTTGTCCTGTTACCAGAAAGGAGTAAGAAACGGTTCCAGGGACCCCTGAGTCCATTTGAGGAGCCAAGAAGTACCGGGGACTTCCCTGTGGCCCTCCCCAGACTTTGCCACATGCGACCCGATTCTGTTGGCTGGTCCTGTGGGTTCCTGGTCTCCAGGAGTCCTACTGATAGATAAGGGAGCAGGGTCCTGTCAAAGCTTGACCTTCCTTGGGTGAAAGGGGTTGGGACATATGTGTCTCATTTCCTCTGAATGTGAGTGTGCACATACATTTGTGCTGCCTGATATTTGACGCTTGGCGGAGTCCTGGTGGCACCGAGGTTACAAATTGGCCTGAGATCCAAAAGGACCAAAGGTCAGCAGTTTGAAATCACTAGCGGCTCCTAGGGAGAAAGATAGGGCTTTCTACTCCTGCATAGAGTGAATCTCAGAAACCCACAGGTACAGGTCTGCCTTTCCTATCGGGTCGCTCTGAGTCAGAACTGACTCCACGGCAGTGAATCTGGAACGGGAGGGGGCTCAGTCTGACTGGAGTGAGAACATGTTGGTGGTCAATGTCCAAAGCTTCTGCGGTGTAGCAGCGCAGGAAGAAAGTTTAACGAGGCCAGACACAAAGCCCTGTCTTCAAGCCGTTTGTTTACCTTGCACAGGAAACCAGGAAAAGCCAGCCAGGAAAGGGATCCACTGCCCCACACCAGGCAAGAGAGGCCAGGCTCTGGACTCCTGAGTATTTCTCCTTCTCCGCCTGCCCCCACTGTGCCCCTTCCCACCATCCATAGAGCTCCTGCCACACTCCATAGGCTGGGGTCTTGGAATCTGGTGGGTGTAGCAGCCATGATTCTTCAAGGTGAAAAATCACACACACACACACACACACACACACACACACACACACACACACACA